TATTCAAGCGCTTCTCGAAGAGCTCCACGGTCTTGTTGGCTGTCGAATACTCACCGATGTTCTACAAGACGGCATGCAGCTTCGCTTAGCGTCAATCGCACGCGTTACCTCTGACGCAGCTTGACAAAGTGCGATTAGCTCGCGCAACTTCTCAATCTGTGTGTCGGAAGAGATTACGAGGCGCTGAAGAACTTTGCTCCAGAACGCGAGGTCGGCGTTATCGTAGGTCTCCGCCAGAAGTCGAAGGATTTGCTCTCCAAGAATGATGTGAGCAGGAAGCGACTAAAACAAGATGACCAATTCTTTAGTGCTTCAAAATCAATCAAAACAAAACCAACAATGACTTACGCGAGCTTCTGGGGTAACTTTGACAAGTCGATCGGACTTGCACAGGTCAACAACCACGTTGGAAACGTCCACCCTCTTAACGGACGCGAACACGCTGTCCGCATCGGCGTTGTCCAAGACGGCAAAGGCCTCCTCCACGACCTGGATGCAGACCTTTTGGCGAGCGTAGTCGCAGCAGAACGCATTGAAGAACTTTTCGAGCACCGCGACTCGTTCGTCGTGCTCGTATTCTTCCGGTGCGGCGAGACATTTGGCATACCACAACACGAGGTGGGCCAACGCTTGTGGGACGGGCGGCTGCTGTGCATCGCCGAACAACACAAAACGACAGAGACATCGCAGCGTTTCGAGGGCGAGTGTTGACTGCTGAAAAATCAGGATGCGATCTGCGCTATGTACGGGCCAAATGCAATACATAAAACAAACTTACTTCTGCATCGATCTGCGAAATCAAGCTGGTGTAAAGCGGAAAGCCGGGACACTGAGTGTCGGCGGCAGAGAACCACAGCTCGGTTTGCGAATAGCCGTACTGCAAAATCATGTCCGAGAGCACTTCCACGCACGCTTCCTAAACCTTTGTTCCTGTGAAACCGAGGATTTCTTAACGCACCTTGATTTCGGAGATTTCGATACGAAGTGCTTGGCAGAAGACGGGCATATGCTTCTTGGCAAACTCGCGGTGGGCATACGCAATAGCACCAATGCACTGATAGGCCAAGAGTCGATTGGTCGGATGCTCACTCTGCAGCGTATCGGCAATGATCGAGCTGTGGAGCTGATCCGCCAACGACTTGGGCAGGTGATCGCCGATACAGCCAGTTCGTAGCATCGCGTTTGTCACCAGCAAGCACCGCACACGAAGGACTTGATCCATGGGGACGGTGACGAGAGTATCGTCCACCCCGAACTGAGCTCCTGCGAGGTCGGGACCGGTAGACCCGCCAGGAAGTGGGTTGCTTTGAGCGATCGTGTTAAGAATTCCGAGGAAGTCCGCCAGAATTGCCTGAAAAATATGCGATTACAACTAGGGCAATGCCCACGACAAAAACCGCAAGATCGAATTAGGATACTCTCATACCTGCGTCTCGTCCTTCTCGTAGTGATAGTCCAGCAAACTCGTAACTGCAGCCTCCGCAAGCTCGGCATTAAGTGGAACCAAGGGGTTTGTGAGCACCTTTTTGATCAGCATCTCTTTCCACGAAGCTCTAAAGAGTAGTATTTCGAAACGACCTCTATCAGCTGACCACATACTTTCCGACTGGTTCAGGGTCGAGGTACGGCAACATGTTAATGAGGTCGATCAGTGTCGGTCGAAGGGCCGTTGGAGACTGTTTGCGCTTCTCACGAACCGTGACGTTCCCGGAAACGGAAGCGCTGTCTTTGAAGAATTTCGTGATGAAGCTGGAAAACATATATTTTCGAAGCTCAACCACACGAGCACATACGAGTTGACGAAGGCGATAAATGCGTTGAGCATGGGCAGGAGCTTAGCAAGGCACTGAGACCGAAGACCTTCATCGGAGGCCTTCTCGGCGAAGAAGGCAACGAAACGACGCCAGTGGTACACCCGTAGGACCTTACTCGAGAAATGAGACCTGAAAAGCACGCGTTGAAGTACATGAGCGTGATGAATGAGGTTCATACTCGCTGTCGATAATTTTCTGGTAATTCTGCGCATGCAAGATCACATCTTTTTCGGAACTCAGCGTGATCTTGAGAAAGTCAAGGAGCGTTTGCTTGCGCTTCATCCCGTAACATATGTCAAACAGCGCAAGAAGCATGTCGTCGAATTCCTTAATTCAACGTAAATGTGGGCTCATGCACGTAATTTTCTACTTTGTTGCGGTTCTTCGTCGACAGATGCCGCAGAATGAAAAGCGGTGCTGAGCAGCTAAAACAGCCAATGTCGAGTATAGTAGATGGCGCGAGGCGGGCTTACAATAAGTTGTAAGGCACTGCTTGCTTCTCTTCCAGCGGCTTGTCGCTTTCAACGCAACACACCACACGAATCCATTCGATCGCGAGCTCGCGGTACGCCTCGCATACTTCCGCTAAATCCGCATGTTTTGCAGTAAGTATTCAGTAGCAAGTCCGTACGTCGAGACTCTTGGGTCATTGCCGTAAGCAGCAAAGTTCGATCGGTGGGCGTCCAGGACTTGAAATTCGACGTGGTAATCTTACGCAGTGCCACCACCTGCAACCGCAGTTATATCGAATTATTTTTTGCTGCATCTTACCCGAACTTGGGGATCGGGATCGGTAGTCGCAAGTTGCAAGACGCGCTTCTGGTGGTCGCTCTCGACCCACTTGAAGTCCTTCAGTGATGCGAGTCGGCATTCGGCAGCAGAATCCAGGNGGGGGGGGGGGGGGGGGGGTAAAGTTGGCACGGGAGGTTGGCCCGGAGCGGAGGGTAGAGGTCAGGTTGAACCGTCCGGGAGGGGTCAGGTCGAACTGGGGGAGAGGAGTCGGGTCGGGCTGGGCGGTCGGCCCTGTAGTGGGTCAGCGATTTCATGGCGGTCGGGACCACCGATTTATCATAAGGGGGGACCCTTAGGTAAACAAAAAAGCGGAAATGAATGACATTTTTTTCTTACCATTTCCATTCATTTCCATTTCCCACAGGCCAAATTTCTGACCATTTCCATTTCCATTTCCCACTAGCGTCATTTGCTACCATTTCCATTTCCATTTCCATTTCCATTTCCATTTCCGGGAAAACCCTGGTTGAAGTACATGAGATTGACGAATGAGGTTCATACTCGCTGTCGATAATTTTCTGGTAATTCTGCGCATGCAAGATCACGTCCTTTTCGTTCGACAGTGTGATTTTGAGGAAGTCAAGGAGCGTTTGCTTGCGCTTCATCCCGAAACATATGTCAAACAGCGCAAGAAGCATGTCGTCGAATTCCTTAATTCAACGTAAACAATGGGCTCGTGCACGTTCTTTCTACCTTGTTACGGCTCTTCGTCGCCAGATGCCGCAGAATGAAAAGCGGTGCTGAGCAGCTAAAAGAGCCAATGTCGAGCAGAGTAGATGATGAATGGGTGCATACAATAAGTTGTAGGGCACTGCTTGCTTCTCTTCCAGCGGCTTGTCGCTTTCAACGCAGCACACCACACGAATCCATTCGATCGCGAGCTCGCGGTACGCCTCGCATACTTCCGCTAAATCCGCATGTTTTGCAGTAAGTATTCAGTAGCAAGTCCGTACGTCGAGACTCTTGAGTCATTGCCGTAAGCAGCAAAGTTCGATCGGTGGGCGTCCAGGACTTGAAATTCGACGCGGTAATCTTACGCAGTGCCACCACCTGCAACCGCAGTTGTATCGAATTATTTTTTGCCGCATCTTACCCGAACTTGGGGATCGGGATCGGCAGCCGCAAGCTGCAAGACGCGCTTCTGGTGATCGCTCTCGACCCACTTGAAGTCCTTCAGTGATGCGAGTCGGCATTCAGCAGCAGAATCCAGAAGGTGATCGTATAGGACTAAACGTTCTCCTTAGGATCCATTCCATTGCGACGTCCTACTCTGACTGGGCAGCACCGTATCCTCGGCATCGTCGATAATATTCTGCTCGTGTTGTATGCACGTAAGTGCCTCCAGTGCCTTCGCGCGCACTTCAGGTTCCTACAAGACATATTTTAAAGATGCAATTAGCCATAAAGCGTTTGTGCCTGCCAGGCGCGGGTTTGCTTTCGGCCAACTTACAGCGTGTCGCACCATTTTGCGCAGCACCAGGTACATCATGTTGAAGTGCTCCCGGCCGATGAGAAAGCTCGCCGCTTCCCCGAACACGTCTTCGTCGTCTTCGAGCGCGTTGTCCTGCTTAGCGATCACGGCCTGCTCAAAGAGATAGCGAAGAATAACGCAGACATTCTGACGCACTCCGGCATTTTCCACTAGGCAGTTCTAAATTCACACATGAGTCCTGAAGCAAACCGAGATGATCTGGATGAATAAGCCTCACATTGCTGCAGTGGCAGACGAGAAAGTCGACAAACTCCGCGTTTTGCACAGTGCTGAGAGCCTTGACGGCCGCTTGCGCGATCATTCGGAAACATTGCGCTCTTTCTGTGGGCATCGCAGTGCTTGCAGTAAGCAGTTCAATCCGTAGACGCAGCATGGTAAAGAACTCGTCGCGCAGATCGTTCCGTGGGTACACCTAAACACAATTTTAGAAGCCAGTCTTGTATACAGGAAAACATTACGTATAGAAACAGATGACGCAGCTTCCGTTCTGCTTTGTCCAGCTCTTCGTCGGATTTGGCAAAGATTGCCGTGTGCAGACTATCATGGAGAGTCTTCCGAACCTCTGTTATGCCGATCTCGTCCTCTCCTTCTGTAGTCATTCTGGAGGCTTTGAATTGGTCTAAAAGTGAACCGAAATATTTAATCGCGGCATACTTAGGGTGACTGCATCAAGCAGCTTTTGAGCTTGCTTATGCAGTACACAGCGCCAAAGCTTAAAAATTTGGCGCCAAAATTTCGGAACCTAAAAAAACCAGTTATTTTTAGTAAGGCTCATGGAGGTGCCAGCAACAATAAAATTATTCCGCAGACAAGTGAACTACTAGTAATAGGACTTTTTGGATCAACCAATAGGACAGTGCGCGCAACGCTTACATCCACCTTCAGCGATCCGTATCCTCGAAGCGTCTGTGGTGTAATGGTTAGCATGGTTGCCTTCCAAGCAATCGGCAGGGGTTCGATTCCCCTCAGACGCATAACTTTTTTTGTCTAGTTTAACACAGCAGAATCAGTCAAAAACTTTCAAAAAGTTTAAGTAGGGGTACCGGTTACACGTGTGTACCTCTATGAAACCATACGCGAACGCATTTCAATAGCAAAAGCCTCATCGTTGCTGAATATGTAGAATCCTTGTGTTGTAGCTGCTGACTCATTTCACAGGGTCGTGCTCAGCTCGAACCATTTTCGTTGGAGGTAAACTAGATATTTTGACGGGTAACGGCATCCATGCTTCCTGCTGCATGCGGCTAATCATGACACGGTAACCGATCTGTGCAGACCGGCATGCTCAAGCTCCAAGTGATTGCAGCGTTCACTTCACCGGATGCAAAAGCACTTCTTCGATGCCTTCTTCCTGGTAGCCAGCTCTACGTCAATTGCGCGACGCACAGCAAGAGTTATCCAAATTTCCTAACCTGTGAAATTAATCCGCCCGGCGAACGGACTAGCTAGACACATATGGTAAAGGTGCCTTGTGTATCTGTTCTTTTCTGAACCTGGCTAAGTACACTACAGAATGGACGTCATAGTGTTCCCATCGTTCCACCTTTGAGAGACCTAATTTAATCACGGACACAAGAAGCCTAATCATGGTCAGTCAGCAAGCCCTGAATTCGCACGTCACGCGCAATGGGTCGATTCATTATGGTAGGTGATCCGCTATCATTCTCTTGGGCACGCGAATGTCAGCGTATCAGCCTACCGGGTATCTTTCCCCCGCGTTCACCGAAACAATGCCAAAAGGTTTGCCCTATAGCGCTTGAGTTGTCGGTGACTCGTCAGTAGCCTCTTGAAGTCAAAGCGCGTGTGCCGTCACTTTTCCTTAGGGTGCCGCACGGGTCACCGACAGTCGTTGGAGGTGGGCATGAATGGGCAGTGTCCTCTGCTGGTCGTTCATGTGGGCATGGACCTGCGTTCGGTGGCCTTGAAGCGAACTCGGTACCGTTGCCTTTACCATTACTAGGGTAAATTGTGGCTCGAGCATGAAGGTGATAAAAGCAACGCGTACCCGTGTACGACGATCTCCTGCTGTGACTAGTCCGCCCGAGCGGGAAACTAAAATGCATTTAGGTCATTAACCAGCATTTCCACTGTTGTGTTCTTCGGTTAAATCGTTTGCTTGAACTTGGTGTAACAAACGTGTTTGCTTAATGTTTTATGAATTTTGTTTGAAGCTTGGATAAATTGGCCATTGCTACGCTGAAAACTTGTGTCTCAGAAGCAACTTTTACTTCGTTGTTCGCTTTCAATAACGCGCTTAAACTCCAAGCCTCTTCATTCAACAGCCCACCGCAAAATCATTCAGATGCATCCACTAAAGGCACTGAAAAAGGGCATGCGCAAGAAGCTCCAACGGGGTGCCACTCCATCGGACTGTGTCAGTCTCACTACCGCCAGCAGTGTAAGCCTACTACGAACGCCCAGGCTTACTCGACATCGGTTGGTTCGCTCGATTTCGGACGTGAAGCAGCTGTACCGTCGCTCAGTGTGCATCGACGTTGACAAACCGCCGCGCAACGTTAGCCTTGACAGCCTCTGCGACCCTCTGCTCCTTCGAATTCTGAAAAACCTCGAATCCAGTGATGTGCTATCGCTGCGGTTGGTATCACAGCCAATGAACAACTTCGTTCAGGTACTGCAGTTATCAACCTCTAAACAGTACTTAGCTTGCGAATTTTACAGCGCTATAGCAACGAACTCTCGAAGGTCGACCTTGGAAAGCTCTGCTTGATCGGGTCAACGGATGGCCGAGTGGTACGCTATTCAGCGAGGACATTGCATAACACCGACGTCTCCAGCGAGGCCCTACAGGTGGGACACCAGTTACTTGGCTGACGTCTCGGGAAGAACTATTGCATTTTATGACAAGTGTCAAAAGGGACTTTAGGTGAAACACATCGAAAGAGCACTGAAGCATGCGGCCTGCATCTCGCTGGTTTTGGAGTTCCTAGTCATCGACACCGGCCTTATCTCGGCTTTAGCCGATGGTCTGACTTCCGATGTTGCCGAACTGGAAATTGCCCAGTGCTACGTCAATTGCAGGTAGTTTTACTGGCCTGATCCCCTCATGAATTGTACACTTGTAGCTCGTCCAAGCTTGCTGACCAACTTCACAAGTGGAACGTGCTCGACTTGGTGCTGAAGGAATGCACTTTCCTGTGTCCTCGTAACGACGCCCTGTCGCCCATCAGTGACCGGCTCTTTCAAAGGAACCATCAACTGCGCCACGTCAGCTGTACCTACAAGCATCGTGCGTGGTAAGCACACAGCGCCACTTACCATATTGTACCTACTGGTAGCCCTCTACCTAGCGTTAGCCCTTCCGTAATTCCAAACTCCCTTTAATGTTTAAAAGAAAATTTAGAGGTTTTCAATCGTTAAAGTGGATTAAAGATGCATCATACCTGTACAAATACGTCTAAAAACGGAGTATTACTCTACGGGATTTGGTGGTAGTTTTGCTACGAATTGCCCATGCTTATCCGATAAAGCGATAAAGGCAGTAGTTCCAGCGAGATAGACGCTTAGCGGCGGGACTTTGACCCTCCGCCTAAATCTGGCCCTCTGCCTAATTCGGACCCTCTCTAGAAGCACTAAGGAAAATTCTGACCCCCGGGCTAAAACTAGGGAGAATACGGCATGCCTAATACTCGGTGCTTGTTCAGCCACCTTTCTGTTCTTTAGGTCGAACTTGTCCGATGATACACTCTGCATGTGGGCGTTAAAGTGCAGCTGGCCGGACAACCTCAACCTGTGCAACTTCCGCTCTAACATCACCCACTACGGCATCTACGTCGTCGCTAAGGTGCGTTGTGAGACTTGGCTGCGTGTGCATTGTGTTCTTTTATTGTTTCGTAATTGCATTGTGGATTTCAGGCATTTGTCGCCCACTCTCTGCAGTTTCCGGCCAACGGGTCTTCACTTCTCTGGAACCTTGGGACGATCGAGTCCACGCCACTCCAGCTCCGCGCTCAACTTGAGAAGCTGAGGCGATTTGTTGACATCACCGAGGAGACTACGACCTTCACCAGCCTGAGAATTCAAGCGACGCCGTCGCAGGCTTTGCACATGCACGTTGTCTTCCGCAAGCGTGCATCCGAAGTGTTAAACTGTAGCCTCAACAACTCCATGTTTTCTGTATTCTCAACCGTATCAAAAGCTGTTCATGTGTGAAATCAACTGTATTAAAGTATTTCTCCTGAAGTAAGTTCAATGTCCCACCATGTAGTTCTAAGACGGGATGGATTCGCGATCGTAGCTAGTAGCCACTAAACTATTCTGCTGCTCGGCTTTATGCTACTCTGATGTTGCCCGACTCAGAAAGTGCATGCGTTCCCGTCACATAATTTAATGCTGACCCAACAAACGCAACAGACAATACTTTAAAATGATGTTGGCTTGATTACTTAATAGCTTCGGCCAAAGAGAGCGAAAAACTTGGCCTTGTTGTTGCACTTGGGATTGATGCACTTCTCGGGCAGCTTTTCCTTAGGCTGCTCCAGTGGAATGCAGAGCGTTTTCGCGCCCATTGCAGCCGTGCCGGCCTCACCGGGCTCGTCTCGAGCGGAGTCCTCCTTGATCTGCTCCTCGCATTTAATGTCGCCGCAGAAGGGGCTTAGGAGAACGTCCTTCTTGTCGAGCGACGGTCCAAAGTCCGACCAGTTCAGGCAGACCTTCTTGTGCTCATCTCGTTGCTGCTCGACTCTAAACAAGAAGGAACCTTTATCGATTTANCTGTGCATGACGGGTCTCCTGCTGTGACTAGTCCGACCGAGCAGGAACTAAAATGCATTTAGGTCATTAACCAGCATTTCCACTGTCGTGTTCTTCGGTTAAACAACATGAACAGAAATTATGCTTGAACCTAATGTTACGCCTTTGCTTCATGTTTCATGACTTTTGTTTGAAGCTTAGATAAATTGGCCAACGCTACATTGGAAACTTCTATGTCAGAAACAACTTTTACTTCATCCTTCGCTTTCAACAACGCGCTTAACCTCCAAATCACTTCCTTCATCAGCCCACCGCAAATCGTTCAGATGCATCCTCTAAAGGCACTGAAGAAAGGCATGCGCAAGAAGCTCCAGCGAGGTGCCACTCCATCGGACTGCGTCAGTCTCGCTACCGCCAGCAGTGTGAGCCTACTACGAACGCCCAAGTTTACGCGACGTCGGTTGGTGCGCTCGATTTCGGACGTGAAGCAGCTGTACCGTCGCTCAGTGTGCATCGACGTTGACAAACCGCCGCGCAACGTTAGCCTTGACAGCCTCTGCGACCCTCTGCTCCTTCGAATTCTGAAAAATCTCGAATCCAGTGATGTGCTATCGCTGCGGTTGGTATCACAGCTAATGAACAACTTCGTTCAGGTACTGCAGTTAGAAACCTCCATAACAATACTTAGCATGTGAATTTTACAGCGCTATAGCAACGAACTCTCGAAGGTCGACCTGGGAAAGCTCTGCTTGATCGGGTCAACGGATGGTCGAATGGTACGCTATTCAGCGAGGACGTTGCACAACACTGACGTTGCCAGCGAGGCCCTGCAGGTAGGACATCAGTTACTTGGCTGACGTCTCGGGAAGAACTCTTGCTTGTTATGATAATTGCCCAAATGACTTTAGATGAAACACATCGAAAGAGCATTGAAGCATGCGGCCTGCAACTCGCTGGTCTTGGAGTTCCTAGTCATCGACACCGGCCTTATCTCGGCTTTAGCCGGGGGTCTGACTTCCGATGTTGCCGAACTGGAAATTGCCCAGTGCTACGTCAATTGCAGGTAGTTATACTGGTCTTATCCCTTCATGAGTAGTACACTGTAGCTCGTCCAAGCTGGCTGGCCAACTTCACAAGTGGAACGTGGTCGACTTGGTGCTGAAGGAGTGCACTTTCCTATGTCCTCGCAACGACTCACTTTCGCCCATCAGTGACCGGCTCTTTCAAAGGAACCATCAGCTGCGCCACGTCAGCTGTACCTACA